TGCGATTGTAACCCAATTGAGTGACTCCCCTTTCGTTGTACTGGCGCGGATACTGAGTGTCGTGGCCGATGAGTCCCGTTTCTTGTCAGTGCATTTTTCATTGTAAGCTTACTCTCTTCGGTAAATTAGACATTTTCCATAGGGACCAAAACATCAGCCATTGACACTGTTTTTTGGTGTCGATCTACAAGGGCTGAAGATGAATACCTTCGAATCTTTTTGCTGCTTTCGCGATAGGTACGGATCTGGCGAGGGAAACCCCCAGCGTATCTGGCGTTTCAGGCGAACGAATACACGGACTCGACGTAAGGTATTGACGAACGTTGCTACTTGGCGGGTGCCATGGTGCGCCCAACGTCTATTTACGTAATCATGATGCCGCCTTTGTCAATTTGACTATATGGCATGTTTACATACGCATGTTCATACTGTGCGATTGATATGTACTGGTCGTTATTCTGTTAGCCCGCGAGTTGTATATTTGTAAGTTCAAAGTCTTGAATGTTTAATGCAATTACAATGTGTGCTAGAATATTTTTCACGTCAGTAATTTCTCTGTACTTCTTGACCATTTATTTCTTCATTTACTTTATTTTATATGAAGGGCTGGCGAGGTAGCTACTTTAGTAGTCACTTATGTAACGTAGTCAGTCATATTTATTCTCAATTCTCAATTAACGTAGCCAGCCAATTTAATTCTCAATTCTCAAAGCACAGGATAAGTTACTGCAGTGAGTACATAACGTTAAAACTCAGGTACATCCCACGGGCCACAAAGTTCAAACTGTTTCGCTGTCGGGCCGACCCAAGGGTACCTGATCTATTTATAAAACAGCCGAGACCTGATCTGTTCGCGATTAACTCTCAGGATCCTGGAAACTGCACTGCGGACTCGAGTAAGTACGGATCGGAAATGTGCATCGGTAAAGTATACACTACGTCTCGTATGGCATCTCACAGCCGTGCGATAAAGGCCTGATGAATTTATCTATTTAACCGCCTTTTGATACATCAGCCGGTACTTATGGACGGCAATTTGGCAAACCCGATCGTGAAATAATATCGAGCGCTAATCGAGCATTATGTCAATATAAATTGCGGCTGGAAGAATACCATTGCAACTCAAGAATCAATGCAGTAATTTCTGGAACTTTCCGCAGTTGTACAAGGCCGGGGGCAGCAACGCCCAGAAACCGATCCGAAAAACAGGGCTGAAGCAGAATGAACATTTCCTGAACTCGACGTATATAATTTTTGTACATCTGACCGCCTTCATTCCGTAGGCTACGCCATACTCATTTTTGGCCCCCGTGTGTTTTAAGATATAAAGTACTAGTAATCCTTACACCGACAGAACTCTGGGATGAAATCTTGAACCTGATTACGGCCAGCGATGAAGCCCTGAGGTGCCGTTATCATTTATTTTGTCGACTCGGGAACTTACGCCGTTCATTAACTTGAAGCTGTACCTTCCGAGACTTGTTACTCCGGTCTCCATTGGGACTCCAAAGCCCCCATAAAGCTCATATAGTAACCCCGTATACCTTCCGGTCCACCTCAACCGGGTTGTTTCATTAATTCATGTTCTGGACTCCACGCATCCGGCATATTTTTCTGCTGACTGCAAAGTTCGAATGAGGAACTCTTAAGAATGACATCTAGCCGCTTTTTCCCTACTTAGACCGTTTGGGCTCTTGATTTTCGTGGCCTCCCTGTCTATCTTATTTGCGCATCATAATCGGAGCCGGGATCCCGACTGGACAGATTTGTCGCAGCCCTACTACTAGTATTATGAGTTCCTATGTGAAGCTAATTCACACCGTCTTGCATACTGATTACCTGTGTCACCGGAGTTGTGTGGCTGCTACATCCTTGAAGTCAGGATCACGCCATCTATAACTGCTTCAGATTGGAGTTGTGCATTTCGGTGGGGCAAGCGGGGAATGATTCTCTTCTGGAATCTGTACGCTCACAGCTTTGCGTTACAGATGTGGTGATGAATTATGCAATCATCGATTTCTCTTAGTGTATCTGCTACCTGGAATGAGAGGAGGTACCGTAATTTATATTGATTAAACCTACTATATTATTTTCTCAGTCCGTCAGGGAATCCTTTCTGGAGTTATCCATAAAGTATGACTGAGAATCAATCGATCACATTTCTATGTAAGTCTCCAAGGACTCGTCCTAATCAGCTCAGGAAGAAGAGTTCGGGTAAGCTGTTTGTCTCTCATTTCGATCTTCTCGGCTTGATCAGGGCGATGGTGCAAGCCAGTGAGGCTTGAGGAAAAGCGTTCGGACATTTATCAAACCCAGCTTTCGGAAAGCGAGAGAAATGGGATAAGTCTTGAATTTATAAAGATTGAAACAACGGGATCTACTGGCATCTCAGACGCTAATATCGGAACTGATATCGTTGATGCCACGCCTAACGAAGTTCCTCCGCCCTTCAAGGGTGCATAGTCTCTTTCGGAGAATTGTATACACTTCGGTTACACCGAGGTTCTGCCAGTTGACGCTCTGCATAGAATCCAATCTTTCGGTGTAGTTTACATTTCTCCCCCTGCAGCAGCACATTTTCTCAACGTCCTGGCGCCGGGCGGGCAGAACCAACGTACAGTATATAGCATCAACCTTAAGCTTGCATTGTCAACTTGCTGTCAACCTGCTTTCCAATGATGCCCAACTTGAAGTTGTGAGAGTGGCGGACCTGCGTTTTATTACCATTAAAGTCATCGGTCTGCTCACCTGGCAGGAGCCACTTCTTTGTTTTGTCAATCTGCCTGTGTCTTGATTATCGACGCGATATCGACGCACTAACTTAAACTTGCGAAATCACTTACTAGCAACGCGAAAACAGACAGTCACGTGGACACTAATTGCAAGCCGTCACATTGAAAGCAGTCACTCATCAATTGGCTTTTTTTGTATTCTAACCATCTCAATAACGTTCTGCCAGCAAGTCAAGCTTTGCTCCTATACTTGTCTGATCTACGGCGATAGTCCTAGAAATTACAGACTTTGTTTGTATCTCTGCTCTTGCATAGGTTTCCTAGCTCTGCCACTCACAAAATGAACCGACGACATGGGATGGAAGCAATGATGGGTTTGGGTGGGGGCATGGTGTCAGAGGAATCACGAAGAAAGTAAGGAAATGCTCGATTTCAATTCTCGACACCAATATGTTTCTAACATTTTAGATAGCCTCGAAAAAGCGGAAGACCTCTGTCGGAAGAGAAAACCAAACCTTGCAGTTCCATACCTTTTGAAAGCCATCAAAGATAATAACAATCTGGACGCTATTATTCAAGTTGCCTTCCTTCTCGATATGCCAGGGGCTATCGAGGCTCTAGAAGCAGCCGAACTTCGAGGTTCGTGTCTTGCCTAGACATGGTTTTCGTCTTCCACACCTGATCCATAATTCCAGGGCGTGTGATTTTGAAAAAAGCTCTGGGTAATGACTGTTTCGACGATGAGGGGGATTCAGTGGGACATTTTTGGGGGATATTGGAAACACGTCCATACATGCGCGTTCTACAGGCATTAGTGCGACTTTACTTCGAGTCAGGGAGGGTCAAAGAATCTGCGTAAGTTTTGTCCTTTTGCACGCCTTATGAACTTGGGAGCATTGATTGTACCTTCCTTCAGCCAAACCATCATAGAAATGCTTCGACTGTGCCCAGGCGACAATATGGGTCAACGCTCCTGGCTGGGGTCCATATTGTGTCAGGATGGGCGTTATGCCGATGCTCTTCATTTTTCCCAAGAGTGGCTTAGCGACGAAACCTGTAAAATTGGTACTCCACCTCCTCGTGGTGGGACCGCGTTCAAAGATCCGGTTCGAAACTTTCTCAAATCCAAGAAGGAAGACCTCAAGTGGGCAGATGGGGCGACCCTCTACACGGCTGCGTTGGCGTCATTCAAGTTGTTTGGAGACTACGAGGAATCTCGAGAGTACCTCAAAGTGGCCGCCAAAACAAACCCAAATGTTCTTTTGAAAATACTTGCTCGAGTCCAGCGTCCCTGTACGTTTCTTACCCCCCCTAAACATCGTTGTAATACTTATCGCCGCATCTTTATAGCGAAGCTCAATAATGACCCACGGACAATGAATGGTCCAGAAGACGCGCAAGACTACTTGTGGCTCACTCAAAATCTCTGGATGGAAGATGATGTTTGGAATTGGGCGAATACAAACCCGGCGGTTAAAAATGTGGTCTTGAAAGTCTGCAGCCGCGCGGCCTGCGGAATGAGAGAGGTCCGCGCCGCAGAGTACAAGCGATGCTCCGCCTGCCATCTTGTGCGTCATACTGTCTTCTTTAGTGCGCGCAACCCATCTGATCTGATTTGATTTATAGGTTTCTTACTGTAGCGTGGCATGCCAGAAGGACGACTGGCCGAATCACAAGCCAGGCAAGTTTTGACACCGTTTCATGCGCGGTGAACTCTATCTCATTCGGCCATTCTTCTAGCCTGCCTTGCTCACAGGAAGCAAAAGGCCACTCTGCGTGCATTCCAGCTCGGTAAAGCGCCCCCCAGGGATTCTCCAATGCCCATGTTCGCGACGGATGTCCTGGGTGGCATGCCTACTATGCCTACTTTCAAGTAAACGATCATCCCAAACCAGAAATTCTTTCGGTCACGAGTTGCCTTCGACGACGACGTTGGACAACTTCATCTAGAACTTCAAATAATGCCATATGTACTCATCCTGACTTGGCCATCTTGACATCCCTGGCATTGACGCTCCCATTTAATTTTTCGACTGGCTGGAGTATACCTTGAGTATACCGTAGTATCGTTGTATATAACTTATCATTTGGAGAAATCCATACATGTACATATACTTCCTTGTGACATGCACAGTATCACCTTTCATATATTATCTGTTCGACGTTGTTAGAGAATCACTTTGGAAGTACATAGATGTGTGAAAGACTTTCGAGATATGGTTACTTAGCTTGCCAGACATATATAGTCACAACGAGTTATATTGATAGTCGGATATGGTGTAACGGCTAACATTGCCGCCTCTCACTCAAGATCGCGGCAGCTCGGGGTTCGATTCCCCGTATCCGAATATGATTGAAAGATCCAGAGATATTTTTTTTTGCACCACGATCGCCTCACCTTCATTGATTTGTCCTAAGCAGACTCCGAGCTCCATAAGCTTTCCCAAAAATGCCGAGTTTCCTTTTCATAAGATGCAGAAGGTCGATAAATAACTGACTAACTACCTAATCTTGTACTACAGGTTCAACAAAACTAAGGGGGGAATTTATGAATCCAAAGAGAAGTTGATTTCAATGAGATGAGAGGTAAGGTTAATGTGGAAGGAAGCGTCTATCTACTACATAAAGGACAGTTGTCAATAATGTGCGATGGAATATGAATGTATGTGGTATAGTGACTGGTATATTGCGATTGATCTTATTTGTGAGGATTGAAGATTCCAGGATGACAAGGTTTAAAGAAAGTGGGGACAATGAAAGTACAAGCATGAGAGGCATAAAGAAGGAAGCGGAGGATAGCAAGATGGACGGAGTAGGAAACGAGGCGAAGAGGGAAAAGATTGAATCCATCATCGACACCTCGAATAACTCATCGGAGCCTAGGGATTCTGAAGGAAACAAGGGCGAAAGGAAGTCTTGACGTGGTAAAAATGGAACTGCGCATAAAAAGATCATACATACAAGGGAAAAGAGAAAAGATAGTCCACCATTTCGATGATTCCGCATGGTTAGCATAGTTGCATATTCAGCGTCTCCGTCGCCGCTTTACTCCGCTCGTCCTCATTACATACATCCGCCCCTATCGTCGGATCCAACTTCATTGATCGTACACGTGGCGTTGCATAAAGTGTATCATTTTATGTTTCTTGTTTTTCTTCTGTGATTGAATATTTCTATCAGCGTCGGGTCGTAAACAGTTGAGTGGAACAATAGCGAATAGCGGCTAGTGAGTGGTTGCTTGATGGGTATGCGTATCAGATAGGCGAGAGATGGCCAAGTGACGGAAGACAATTAACGTCCAAGGGCCGAAAGATAGATGAGCCGGTAAAAAAAGGTCAGGGCTTCCAATCAGAAGCGGGATGTAGCGATGACGCGATAGAGCATGTTGGCCTCCTCGAACTTTGCATTGCGTAAGCTGAAGTGCGCCATCTCGGTCGAGTCTGCATCGGATGTCGGATCCACGATCGACAATTTGATGAGGTTATGGTAGAATCGACAGAGCTAGTGGCGAAAGAATAAATGTCAATAGCAGATTGAATGATAAATTCGGGGGAAAATTCACGTTCTGCACACCCTTCGCAAATCGGTCATCGCTCACATTGCCCTCCCGCTCCTCTCTCTCCGCACGGTCCAGCCAATTGATGCATTCGTGCACAAAACGGCCCAGGACCTCCATCAGAACAAGATCAGCGACGGTGGAGTAACCCTGCACTGTCACTCGTGTTTGGTCCCTCAGCAGCCTGCCATAGAGGTCGAAGGTAGGCAAAGTGGGGGGCAGAAAAGGAAGAATATCCAGGAATGGCCGCGGGTTGTTGTTCTCGGGATTCGGGTTCACGAGGAGGCCAACTAGCAGCGGGTGGGCGATCGTAGGGTTGTGAGCGATGATAGGCGTGAGATCAAGCGAAGTGATGATGTTCGTGGTTGCCAGCTCCTGGAGGACGGGTGCAAGGGTGCGTTGCTCCGAAAGGCTGAGCACACGGTCACGCGCAGCCAGAAGGAGCTTCATCGCGTGCACGAGTCGCTCGTTCTTGCGGTCTTCCTCAAAGCTGATGGGCGAGGGTGTTATGCGTGCCATTGGGGCATAGTCATTAGTATCGGAGGAGGCCGATCGCTTTTGGAAATAAGAATAAGTAGAGTCGTCTATGTCGTTATACAGGTGTTCGTCGAGGACAAGATTAATCGCGCGTAGTTTAGGTGGAAGCGGACAGCGGGAAAGCGTGCTGGGGGAATATGGGCCAATCTGCTTCTATCAGATAAAGTCATGAACAAGAAAAGATGTCAACTCACATCGTTCCCATCTCCTTTGAGGATCTTCCATAAAACCCAGACAAATTGCTCGTTGGGACTCACGCCACCCTCATTGGCGATCGTGACGGCCTTTTCTCGCTCCCTGACGTATGCAACAAACAGGGCAGACTTGAAGGGGTTGATGGTGACCGGGTGTGGCGTGTACAGCGAATACAAGATGAACGATACCAAGATCCGTTGAGCTAGCTGCGAAATGTAAGCCAAGGCCTGAAGAAGAAAAGGAAAACATACCTCGGTATTGGAATCGAGAAGTGGCAACAACGCGTCAAGAGCCAGCTGGAATCGCGAGGTCGGCTGGACGAGCTGAGCAAAAGCCAACGCTGCTGTCGAGCATGGCAAAGAAAAGGCCCTGGCGAGCAGGTGGCTCACAGATGCCTTGATGGTGTCTAGTGGTGGTGACGGCGTGCTCGCCGTCGTGTGGACCGCCGACGAAGGGGGTTGCATGCTGGAAAACAAGGCCAGGTTGTGCCCAAAGTCAGTCGCATAAATACATAGTTGCGTAATCACATTGTCACATGATTCAGACGCGTCAGACAAAAATGGAAAACCAGAAAGAACTTGCCTGGCCCACCTTGCGGAGCACTACCCCCGAAATATATAGGCAAGAGCCGATAAAAGAAACTCACTTCGATGAAGATTCACACAGATACAACTCGGATTTAGACACTACCCAATGTCCAAGTGCGAAACAAAACCAACTTAGGTCGTCCCAAATATCACGACAAACTCATTTACAGGCTGAAGCGAATATGAGAATTGAATATTGAGCGCTGAGCGCTGAGCCTCTATATACACTCCCTATTCACCACTAATTTAAGGAACAGGCCACAACCCCGTGACCAATTCTACTAATTCGAAACGGGTGTCAATCTCGATCAAACGGTAATTCACTGGCGCCTGGCCTAATTGCAATAAGCGCGCATAAACGAGACCCCAGTTCTCCATTAATCTAATAACTGCCTTTACAACATTTATCCTCTCCCTTGAATAGGGTGGTAAGAATGTAAGAGAACATATGCACCTATGGTACACATGCAGTACACGCCCTTTAAAGAATGCATTTAAATACTTGTCCACTGACAAAAGAACCTGCACCCCAATCGTAAACCCAATAATAATAAAACGAAGATTTGAAGATTCTACTAGATGAAAGGATTCGGTAAGGTTGGTAAGACCTAAGTTCAGTCTCTGTTCGATTCCATGGCATTACAGGCCAGTTTCAAGGTTCTGTCCGAGTTTCACTTTCTGGAAAACAGAATCAACCACATGCTACAGCCGATCCATAATAACGCGAACGACTCACTCGGTCCATATTACTTAGCTCGAAATCAGAGTCATGCTTAAGCTCGAAATTCTTGACCACCTGAACTTGCAGCCCCTCTTGTCCCTCAACTTGACTAGCTATGTCCTGCGGTCTATTGCTTCTCGGAGCAGTATATGACCGGATACTAGTGCTGTTAGTGGTACCATATGGAGTCTTGATCTGGCGGTTGTTCAAAACCGCAATTAAACAATTGGTATATCTAATAGAGAAGGTTAGGTATCAATAGGGCGCTCTAATGTAATGAAGATCGTACAGTTTGCCCATGATCGCAGTGCTGTGGCATATCATCAGTTTCAAAGACACCCTTGGCACGTTGCTATGACTCACGGAGGCACCACTAATGTCGAATGTTGCTTTGGAAATGTAAAGGTCAATAATTGCACGGAAAAGTTGTCGAGAAATATCCGTACTGGGACACCAAGGAACAGTATCAAGGCGATTACAGCTGTAAGAGCTGTCAACGTAGAATGTCAGTCTAAAATACTCAGCGGAGATCTCGGCCAATAATGGACACCTGTTATCGAGTTCGTCTCCACTGTCAGAGACACAATTCGGTTTATCATGCCTCGGGAATTTTCGTGCACCCTGCCGCGAGAACGAAGGAGCTATCCAGGGGCGTCCCCACGTTAGACAAGAAGCGCATTTGGCATAATGCTGATAACCAACCGTCCAAGATAAAACAGCAGTGATCGACACATCTGCAACGGTGGCGCCAACCAACCACGTCTATCAAACATTTTATAAGGAATGGGCAAAGCATGAAATAAAAAGACATACCGTCTGACTTCCTACTTCTGTGCTAATGAGTGATAGGTGCCCTAATTTATGCGCCTGTAACATCGAACATAGAAAATGAGTGGTGCGCAAAGTCACCAGAGTATCACAGACCTGAACAGCAACCGCAATACCAGCTCCGCATTGACATAGCGAAATCTATTGGGTAGACTGTTAGATGATATACGAGAAAGTTGCGTGTGGAAATACAGCGTACCATGCCAATAATGACGGGGAATATGAAGGAGCGCCTGAGAATATAGATGCGCCAACTGTAGAAACTCTGAACGATAAGAGAGACGATCGCGTCCAGCATCGGCACATCCCAAGAATTCAAGAAAGTATCGTCGAGCTGCTTCATGTTTCCGAATCCAAATACAAACCAATGGAAGGCGTCGGCCGTTACCATTCCAGTTTGGAGCATGTCGAGAAGTACAAGGCCATAAACTACAGAAAGCCGATATGTCAGGCGCGACTCACAATAATCTAGGGATAAAATAATGAGTCACAGACCGAGTGCTTTTATTGCCCTGGTATCGTTGGGGAAGTTGAGATGGTAGATATCTACTCGTAGATATCGTGATTAGTATACAGACCGGTACCATCGGAGAAAGTAATAGTACACGTTTGGACGGCGAGTACGCCCATGAACCCCCAGTTCAGACATATGCCGACCATCTGAGTGAAGGAGCATCGTTAGAGAGGGAGGCAGGACATGTCGAGTGCCGCCTACAGTTGGTCCCGTGCTAGAGGCATTTCAGCGATGAGCGCTTATCGCTTAACATTTGGCGAGCGTAAAATCAACATATACGCACATCAGAGCGATACCAGGAGGGATGGGTGGAAGACACGTTTCTGCCATGTCGCGTATTGCTTGCACTCGCGCGTACTGCTGGGAAGGTGAAAAAAAAAAGGTCGGGAGACTTGGTTGTGATGTAATCG